ATATATCAGAAATTTATAAACATGATTAACGTTCAAATAATTGATTTGCTAAATAAACGGCCTTTTTAGCTTAAATTCTCATTTAGTAAGTAGAAAGGCTGCAAAAGTAGACCAATATTTTATAAAAATATTTTAACTTCTTTCTATTTTATTAAATTGGGTTTCTAAGAAAGCATTATAAAAAATTTGCTTACCTTTTAGAATGATTTTTAACATTTAATTTAACATGTTTATTCAAGGCACCATTTTCTGTTGTTCTATTGTATCAAATTTTAAAATAAAGGTAATTTATGATTCGATTTTGCATACTTGAAAATGCCCACTGGTTTTCCAGTCTGTTTTTCGTGGTTTTTTTCACGTTTCGCCGTGGGCATTCAATTAAGCGGCTCGTTGGGTCCGTGCCCCATTACCCATTGCCCGATGCCCTTTACCCTCCACCGCCCCCTGTTGCTGGCCAAATATCGCCCCGAGCGGTCGGCTATTAGTTTGGTACGTTGTACAATGGACTATGGCAAATGCGGATGCCTGATGGCCGATTGCTGCCGTACCTAATTAAATGCAGCGCCCAAAACTTTGTAATTGCCTGCACGCAAGATGGCGCCATTGGGACTTTCATGGGTTAAGAGGTGAGTGGGTAAGAGGAAATGATGTTACATAAAGTAGAAACCCGTGTCATCGCCGCTATCACCTCGGTTTTGCCATCCAGACAATGGACACTGGATTGTGGTCAGCCATTTTCCCGGCTGATTGGCGGTGATGGATGGATGGATTGCATTCGGCGGCCAACTTATTGATTAAACGCATGGAACACTTTGCCAGAATGGAAATTGATTGCTGGCCACATGGCATTTAAATCCTACTTCATTGATGACCATCATGGATTCAATTAAAAATTAAAATTGCAGCTGTATTTAAAACAATATTTGATTTGTGCGAGCGCTCACAAAAATACAAACAAAAATAGTTCAGAAAATGGTTAAGTAATTACAATGATAAAAAAACTTTTTTGCATTACTATTTATATTTATTTGATTTGATTGCTTACAAAAATGGTTTCAAGCAAATTGTCAATTAAGAACGGATCTCTACTATCTATACTTATTTATTATTCATTTTTTGGTAGTGTGTTGTACCAAGGTATAAAAACACATTTCTTTATATAAATAATAATTTGCATACATCTTACTTTGACAAAGTCTTTGCCTTTTGATTTTTATTAAAGACCTTGTTTGGTTTATTTAAATGTGAACTACAGAAGAAAATGCTAATTTTTCTGAGCCAGTGGTTTTTGGTTTGGGTTTTCCGGTCTGCCGCAAATGTCCACTGTGACATGTGGATTTTAGTGTTGCTATATCGCTTTTGTGGCTGGCTTGGTTTATTATCAGCCATGCCACCCATTTCCCTGCCTTGGCCCGTTTTTTTTTTTGTTTGCTGGCAGTCTCGTTCCTGGCATTTGTTAATATTGCTGGCTTAACTAAGTCGCAATGACTTTTATATGATTTTCGGTGCACTCCCCTTTCGGCCATTTAGTCGTGTGGTGGTGGTGGTACAAGCTTTTCGATTGCCATTACGAAACTGAAATGGTCGTAAAAATACCGCAGCAACTTGTCCTTGTCCTTGTCCTTGTTCTCGTTCTCGTTCTCGTTCGTGTCCTTCCACGTCTATGTGGCCACCACCTCCTTTGATGTTCCTTTGGCAGCCATTCAGCCTCAGCTTCAGCCTCAGCCTCCTTCATCCCCGCCAAGTAATGAAAAGCGCGTTAAACCGCAATGCGTGCTGTTGTCTATTCCACACGCATACATATATTTATATATATATGAGTACACAGAAGGAACATAATTCATTTTAAATTCAAAACAATAACATGTACAAAATTAATAACCTATAATAAATAATTCGTATTATAGTAAAATGGAATATCTGACTATTGAATTCAAAATAATAATGTTTAATATTTATTTATTTATTTATTTATTATCAAAGAAGCATTAAAATAATACTTAAAATAAATATTAAAAACACCATATTTAATACAAAGCAGATTAAATTGAGTGATTAAATATTTAAATATTTTAATTAATGGAAAATAGTCAAATAATAAATTAAAAAAAAGTTATATATATTTGAAATAACTAAAAACCGAATGAACACCAAAGCAATAAACATTTCAATTGAGTCCAAAATATTTGGATTTATTATGCTTGTTTTACCTGTGTCCTTAACCACAAATAATTTACAATTTTTATTTTCAAGTACGAACTTTACTAAGCACCATACCTCAAATCATTGCATTTTCTCTGTGTGTAAACACCCATGGAAACCCGGAAACCCAGCCACACTTATGTGCTTTTCTGTGGGTTAGCTGCCACGCCCTCTTACATCAGCAAAGTAAATTGCTAGCCCAGCTCGGCATTTAATTTGATCTTTTGTTTGATTGTGTGCGTTTCGCTTTAATTGAATTTTATGATGATGCTGCAATACTCACACAGACACACAACAGGATGAACCCAAAGAAAGCTATAAAATTTAAAGATAATTGTATTTATTTGTATTAGTGTTTTGTTATAATTAAAGGCTTTATATAATTTGAACAAGGCAAACATGGTACTTTTGTTCTAGCAGAATTCGAAAAAATCAAAATCATTTTGAAGTAAATTTATATTATATATTTAACACTTAGCGCAGGTTCACCCCAATCAACTAGCTTACATCTGGATTACATTGTATTATTGTACAATATTAAAAGCAAAAGTTGATCTAGTTTATCTTTTAGGTCTTCACCACACACTCATTTGCAGCCACTGAAATGTAATATGATATTCATATTCCATTACGCAGTGGTTTTAATTTCACTGGATAAAACGGAGGTGGTTTTGTTTTGTTTTCTGCGGTGCCGCTGTTTCCATTCAGCCAAACCAAACCGAATCCAGACAAACCGAACCCAACCAGCCATCAGCATCCACATCAACATCAACTTTGCGGCGACCGCAGCTGCATCAACAACAAAAGTGTCAACATCCAATAATACATCCGCAGATATGCGACAAAAATTGAAACACAGCCAAAAAAAAAAAATAAGGGAGATCCGAAGCGATTGCTGGACAAGTGGACTGCCACAATGACATTGCCGGACATTATGAAATTTTCAACGCGACTGCATTATTAATACAATAAATAATAAATGCGGGACAAAACGCGCGAAAGGCAACAATAATGACAGCAATCTGTGACTGAACAAGAACGGCGACGAAAACAAAAAACCCAACCGAAAACGACCATCCGCATTTATAAAATGGAACAGAGGATATCGACTGACTAATGCCCTGTCCCACATCGCGTATGAGTTATAAATGTCTTTTACAGTTTGCAATTATTTTCTTAATTAAGCTCAGATTTTAAAGTTTCAATATTTTAAAAGCTAAATTTTCACTGGCATTTTTTGTATATATATATATTTACCAGTATTACATCTGCTTCAGATAACAGATAAAATATTGTCTTATATGTTAATAAGTTTTACAAATTTAGTAATATAATTTTCTCCAATTCGAGATCTATATTGGAATAAAAAAGGACCACTTTTAAGTGGAATTGTCACTGCCCGCGGGTGCATGGGTGTTTTTCGCTGAGGTTAAAGGTCACTCTGGAGGGCTGTGAATTCTGGAGGAGGAGCTTCTTTCTTTTGATCATTTCCTGAGCGAAAAACGGTCCATCGGCCGTTCTTTTCGTGCCCCGAACTACCGGATCTACCAGATCAAATCGCAGGCGTTTTATCATTTTCTCCGCCTTCGGTATGCACTTCGCCAAATAGGATTTACTTGTGGATTTGACGAGATTCTCGGGCTGCAAACAGGCGATGGACATTCGTTTGCTGGTCGAGTTCTGCAGGCTGATCACCAGATCCTTGCGGCTCAGTTTGGCCAAGAGAACATATTGACTGCCCAGCTCATCGATGTAGTGCATGGCGTATCTGTGGGCATCCCGATTCCAGTTTTTGGGCAGCAATTCACTGGTATTGGTACTGGTACTGGTACTAGTACTGGTACTAGTAATGGTACTCCCCCCGGCACCAAAATCAGAAGCATTCTTGATGCTCCGCAGCCGGTACTCCTTGGTGATTAAAAAGTGGGCTAGGGCCATCAACAGATCGGACTTCTTGCGTATGTTTGGCTGGATCGAGTGGAAAAGCGACTGCCAGTCACATGGCTCGATTTCGGCATCGCTTTCCGTTTTGGTTTCAGTTTTCCCAGCGCCTTCGACCTCCAGACTGAGATCTGATGATGAAGTGGTTTCTGGCGTTTCCATAACGATTAAATGGGGCACATCTTTTTTTTGGGTTCGGCCCTTTTTTCCGACAATTTTGAACTTATTGACAGGCCAAACAAATAACAGATGACTACAGAAAATTTGAATGCAAATATTATTAAAACCAATAAGTGTATTCAAAAAATCAAAAAGTATTTGTGACCTATGATGCAATACATTTTATATAATTTATTTATTTAATTAATTGGATAATATTGTTCAATGAATGAAATTTACCACTTGTTGGTTATCTAGTTGCACTCCAAAATATGAACGGTGAAAAGTAAAATATTCTTTTTTTGTTCACCTAATGTAAATGATTAAAATTCATAGTTTTAATCCGACGGGTCTGAGAGAACAAAATGTATGCTATTACACATTTGCCATCAACATCATTTAATTGTCGGTGCTTGGAAGCTATACCCATACCCCATTCATTTTTAAATAAATTGAAACTATTAAGATTGCTTGATAGTTGATTTGCTATTTTTCGTTTTTAAACGTAAAAAACATATATATATTGAGCAACAAAAAGCGATAAGAATACTAGCTAGTATTCATTTATATAGCGGTCTATATATATAATGTGATTGGGTTTCTACGATTCTGACAGATTTGAGCAGCCACGCACTGTACTTATATGGCTGCTTATCAGCAATATTTTAGGCATCGTTGGTTTTTTTACAGTCTCTCAGTGTCAGTACACTTTAAAACTGCTGTCGAGTAGTTGGAATAACGTAAAATGCTGAAGCTTGTATTGCTTTCATTCTGTTTCCAAATTGTCCTTGCCATGCAAGGATCACCCAAAGATCCTCAAAGACAATCGGAGTGCGTACTTCAGGATGCACCCAGGCAGTGTGGCTCCTTTTGCCTGAGCGCACTTAGTCCGCTCTTTGTCCATTCTCGTAAAATCCGTACTAGGCTGGATGGAATCGAGGCAGGGCAGTTAGCTTCCTCAGAGAACCTCAGGGCAGGACTTCAAGGAGTGCAGACCAAACTGGATGCCGAATTCCTCGCTGTCAGGACAAAGCTAGAATCCTGTAAGAGCAAGGGGCAAGAAGATTTCGAGGAGAGATTAGCCAAAATGGAAGAACACCTCAAAGCGGTAAGTTGCGAACTGACAAAACTACAGACTACTTCTACAGTCTTCAATGATAATTGATTTTTGTACAGATCAAAACAGCAGGCAATGCCAAAGATGAACTCAAATGCAACAATATTATGAAAGAGACTATTGTAAACTTGCAGAATCAAATCAAAACCAAAGACGATCTTATCAATACGCAAAAAAAACAAATCAACGAAGGCCTTAAAAATAGAGATGATCAAATCGCGGACCTAAAGAATTGGATTGAAACATCAAAACGTAACCAATCTAATGAGCTTTCGAAATGCCGATTAAAGCTCGATGAGATGGAACCATTTAAGGTGTCATGTTCGTCGTCTCCACATGGCTGGACCGTAATTCAGAGACGGATCGACGGATCCGAGAACTTCCATCGAAACTGGGATGATTACAAAAATGGATTTGGAAATGTTAAGGGAGAATTTTTCATTGGCCTGGAAAATTTGCATCAGATGACGAAGGCACGTCCCCACGAACTCTACATTAAGCTTGGGAAGGTTGATGGATCCACCAGCTATGCTCACTATGACGATTTTAAAATTGGCAGTGAGGACGAATTGTATGAGCTGAAGAGTATTGGGATTTATTCCGGTGAAGCCGGAGACTCCCTTGCATACCATAAGAACAAAAAGTTCTCTACATTTGATCGGGATAATGACGAATCGGATGCTGGAAATTGCGCTAAGAAGAAAAGCGGTGGTTGGTGGTATGGCCATTGTGGTTTAAGGTATAAACACTCAAATAAAATGTAATTCATTGTTGTTAAATTAACCTCTTAACATTACAGTTTCCCCAATGGAAAATATTATAAAGATGTCCAAATAACAAATGAAGGCACAAAGAACGGAATATACTGGGGCTCATGGCATGACTACGACTGGAAAATATCACTCACCTATGTTGAAATGATGATTAGACCTAAGTCCTTATGAAGCGCAGTTGTAAATGATAAAAAATCATAGTTTCAATCCAAAGGATGTGAATGGAAAATTGTATAATATTTTTTTGTCATAGATAAAATGGAGTTGTCGTACCATTTTGTGTGTGGAGCTGCTCCTGAGGAACTTTAAATCCTATCAGCAAAGTTCACTAAAGGTATTCGTTTCATTGCATTGATTTACATACATATCCGATTTTATTTTCGACGAATAGCTAAATTTCGGTACATTTTTATACCCTTAACTATTTAATAATATTTAATAACTTAGTTTTAAATTTTATTAACACCTACTTTATGATACATTTTTTGTTAAAATGTTGCATTTTTGTTGCATGTTTATTTAAATACGAATGGCCATCGTTTTACACTATTTTTGTGCGCTTCTCAGTGTTGGGAGTGCATGTTTTAAAAATGTTTTATTTACACGGCCTGGCAAATTGCAATTGGCAGTTGATTTTTGTGGCACAAAAACCCGTGCCCATGTCCATGTCGATGTTCTTGCCAGTTGTGTGCTCCCTCTATACTTTTTTTGTACACAGCTTGCAGTTTCTTTTTTCCTTGTCACTTTTTTGTTTGTTTTTATTCAAATTTGCATGCTTAACATAATTCATTTCATTTCTGCTTTTCCGCCTTTCCACTTTTCCAGTTTTTCGTCGCCCCTTTTGTTTGGGATGTCATCGCCGGGCCGTCTGTATTGATGCTGGATTCAATTGGATGCCAGCAGCTTGGCAAGGTCCTTTGTTATGGCACCTCCCCCTCGCTCCAAATTTATTTATATTTATATATGTCTATAGCGAAATATATTTATATATATATGTATATATATATATATGTGTGTGTGCGGCATGTGGCAGTTACTGGCAATGTTCTTTGGCGGCAATTTGGGGGATTGCTCTCGGTTTGGATGCGGCTGGCTCAAACGGCTTAAACGATTGCGGCCAAGTCAAGTCGGTCGCTGATATCGGGCGAAAGCGAGTAATAAATGCGCATCGCATCCACAAGCGGAAATAGACAGTGCTGCGGTTGGCGCCCAGGAAATGGGCACCCTGATGGGGTCTCAAATTTAGTTCAGTACAACCCGCAAATGCGTAAAGTAAGTTATTTATTACTGTCGAAGAAACCATTTTAATTGGACGGGAGCGTTAAAGTTAAACTTTATTTTTCGGAATTAATTTTAGAAATTGTAGACTTTGGAAAATATAATTAAAATTAAAATATTTCTAAAAATTAATAATTTATTTACTTAAAAATATGATTATTGTTAGTTGACGTTCAACTAAGTTTCATCTAAGAATTTCCGTAAAATTCACAAAGCTCAACCTTTGAGAAAGTACAACAAATCGTCTGGTTTTAATAAAAGCATTAAATAAACACCCCAAATGTAAGCAGACTTTTTGGCTTTAAATTTAATTCAGTACGTCCAGCAAATACGCAGAGTAAGATATTCATTTGTGAAAAAAAAACAATTTGAAAACCTGCTAAAAGAAAAGCAATGAAAACGTCACAAATGTTATTTCATAAATTAAAAGAGACGTGTTTAATATGCGCACATAATAACTAAAAAGTTGACAACGCCAACTTCCACAAAAATGAATTTGACTTTGAGTGTCATAAAATTTATTGCATGCGTTTTCTACTAATTGATTAAATTGTTTAAGCCTAACATAAAATTCGATATTGAAAATGTCACAAAACAGAAAATAAATGGTTTAGAGCAAGATATTTTGATAACTGATTTTGTTGGGCACAATTAAATTCTATTTTATCAAATGGCGTTTCTTTTGGCCAAGCTATTATTATATTATTATCCAGAAGAATAGTTCTTTGGGAACGATTTAATTTGAAGTATTGTATTTTTAAACTTTTAATATATACATTTGAGAAAGAAATCAAATTGTGATATCTCTTTGGTAAAATGCGTAATACAAACAACTTCACAATTTAAAATTTCAATTTAATAAAGTGCTGTATTTTTCATTTATCGAATGATTCTATTAAAAATATTTTCGAAACCAAAGTGCAGAAAAATTGCTATTTGAGCGTAATTAAATTTGCTATATTTTTAATGACCCGTTTGTGCTATTAAAATTGTGCGGACATGGCATGCCGTGGAACTTATTTTGGAAATCAATAATGGCAACCAAAAATAGCAGTGCCGTGTAGCCGCGGGGCATGGCAACATCGAAGTTGGTGAGATGGGGATCCTGGGTGGCAGGCAGGAAGAGGAAGGAGGTCCTGCCACATCCATGATGCCAATGGTCGCCGCAGAGATTCTGCAGTTGCCTGGCTGACGTTTGGTCGCTCGCCTGTGCGCGGAAATGGCGTCGTTAAATTGGTTCCGCATCCGGTTGCCATTGCCCTCGCCAAAATAACCCACAGTCGAGGGAGGCGGGGTTGGATGCTAAAAGGGGGCAGGGGCGCAGGATGACAAGGACGAGAGGACGAGAGGACAGTTGAAGTTTACTGCCATTTGACTGCAGCTCGATGACGCGATGCAACCCCCGGGGCTGCCGTCAAGGAATCCACTTTGCACTTACATTTCCTCCATTTTCAAACGGGTTCGGGTTTCGCAATGCGAATGAAAATGGAAATGGGATTGCCATTGCCATTGCCAGTCAGCCAGCCATCCAGCCATCCAGCCATCCAACCATCCAGCAGGATTGCAGCCGAAGGACGTCAACTCGAAACGACGGGATTAGGATAATTGTGTCCCGCGAGTGTTGCCTCTGGCTGACGATTGAGAAGTGATTAACCAAAACGGTAAGCGATTCGTGGTTTATCCATGCAAAAGATGCAGACATACAGCACCGCTCTTCGTTTTAGTATTTTAATTATTAAATTTATTATGACTTCTGCTAATTTACAGCCTTTAAACTGAAGTAAATAAAAAATACCTAAAACCCAAAAATAAAAATTGTAATTAAAACTGAAATATTAAAACTATACTTTTTATTTGGGGTGTCTATAGTTTTGGATTGTAAAACACTAATATCTTTATTCTAAAACCAAAACTAACTTTTCTCGGTATTGCTTAGTTCTTATTCTTATATTGTAAGCCTTTTTAAATCTTACAAAAATTAAACGTGTTGTTTGATTTCTGTATATATTACCTTTGTGACAATAAAACTTTCAACTGTTTTTAATTCTAACGGTTTATTTAAATTTTTAAGCTTTGTGAACCTAAAAAACTTGTAGGTTTATAAATTTAAGGTTTACAAATTACAAATTATTTTATTGAAAACCTTTTCTTAAACGTTTCTTGGCATGTATAGTTTTATATTTTTTAGTGTATAGTTCTATATATTTCTTTTTTTTTTTAATTACAGAGTTTTGAACAGATTTATTTTTTTAATTTATTATTTTTATCGAGTTTTTGCGTTCGTAGACTTTCAATTCATTTTAAGACATTAAATCTTTTAAATAAAGAAAACTAAAATTCTACATTCGTTTGGTTTTGTGGCATTCTCCTAGTTTTTTGTGTCAGGTTCACCGGAGCGAATTGATTGAGTTCGATGGCCGGATCAAGTGCGCCTGCAGCTCTTGTGGCAACTGCATAATTAAAGCCACCTCCGCCTCCGCCTCCGCCTCCACCTCACCTGTGGAAATTCAATTAACTTTGACTCGTTTGCCCCGAAAGGAGGAGAATATATAGTACGACGTACAGCCGTTAAGGCGTCAATGAGCAACCGCAATTGATATAAATTTCAAATTTTGCAGCCTCTTCGCAGGCACACAGATCCTTTTATGGTCGGGCTGTGCCCTTTTCCCCAATAAAAAATTTAATTTCCAGCCTAATGGTTGTCATGTGTATGTGTGTGTGTGTGTGTATGTGGGCTTGCCTCCTTTGGAAAGAGAAGACCCTATTTGCGCCGGCTGCACTAAATTCGCTACTCGCGTTGGCCATAAAGGGCGTCCAGCGACTGAAATGAAATAAAAGTGCGCTTGCAGTGTGTGTAATAAATTTTCTGAGTGCTGTCTGCCCTTAGCGCTTTTTAGCCGGCTAACCGGTTAGCCGCAGCACCAGAAAAATCCAGATTATAAAGATTTGCAGCCCCAAGGTATAAACTTAGACAATATTAAACAAAAGCAATAATTTTTTAAAAGAGCGCTTCCTTTAAATTAGCTTTTACAAATTCTTATAGGTACATATAATTATTAAAAAACATTTTTTCCGATTAAAAAAAATATGAATATTTTTGAAAGGAGCTTTTCTTTCAAATTACCTTTTTGAAATCTATTGAAATTCTTGAAACGACAACTAACAAGCAACTAACCAGTTTTTGGAAATTTTTTTTTTCAAATATTAATTTCATAGTTGAAATCAAAATCTTTTAACTTTTAGTTAAATCAATTCCTGTAGGTGGTCTTGTAAAACCATGAAAAATATTGTCGTATGCTTTAAATTTATTATAAGTGGCACCAAAAATTAAATAATCCTTCCGATTAAAAAACAAAAATCCTTGCATACATGTGGGCTCAAATTTCAGACTGGCGAATTCGTGGAGTGTCGTGTTTTCTCGAATTTTAGAAAGTTTTGTGGTGTGCGGGCGGCACGCCCCCTGCTGTTCAGCTATTTTCAGTTCAGTTGCCACAGTTTTCCGACTGCCCTTTTGCATGCCGCACGCAAAAATTGTAAAGGGGAAAAAGAAAAATGCAGAAGGGGAACAAAAAGCGAAGGGCCGAAAGGCGCTTCCAACACCCAAAGCTAAAAAGGACGCCTGGCTGGTCAGGACTCCAGTTGTGGCCAGGACGAAAAGCAGTGACCAACGACCAGAACCAGAAGCTCCGGAATGCCCACACTCGGAATCCTCCGTCTCCGTCCAAGGGAATTACGGACATCGGGCCACCATTCTGGCCAACAATCCACTTACGTTGAAACCGGGCATCGGACTAAGGTCTACGGACTTTTGATTAGAGAAGTCCAGGGCATTTCCGGCAAGACGGCAGAAATATACACAAATTTATAATAAAGGGTAGAATTCCATGTACTGCATTTATTTGCAAAAATTAGTGATTTTTAGACGTATATATTTAAGTAGCATTTTTTAAAGTAAGACTTATAAAACAATAAATTTATATATTATTTATTTTATTTATTCTTACCATTACACCTACCTTTCATTTTGTTTGAACTTGTATGTGAACTTGAACCTATGAATAACGTATACGGCATTACGTATACGACGCGTGGGCAATATCTACTGTAGATTTTCATTCGAACAGGACAATAGCCCTGGGTTAGGGTATTCCGCAGGCGGCGATTGAGTTAAGGGCACTCATTCGACCCTGCCCTCGTGCTTTTCAATTTACAAAATACGCCTCCAGCCACTTTTCACGCGTCGCGCACTCAAAAACAAGCAAAAAGTGAAGCTGGAAAAATAAAATTGAAGGAAAACAAGGCGGGAAACAAGAAACAAAATAAAAATCGACAGAAAAGGAAAGTAGATGCTAAAGGTATTGCACTCATGATTCGGATTTCAATGGACCAAGTTATGGACCCAAAAATAATGGCTTCAAGTCGCCAAACACCATCTTCAGCACATCATAACTTGGCTTAAAATAGCTGGATCATACAATGTTATGCCTTCTAATTGAGTTTTATAATAAATAAATAAACAACAGGATACATTTTGTTTGTTGAAAGAGTTTACATATTCAAAAATAATTGTGCTTAATCCCAATAAAACACTTTAGTGTTTTACGACTTTAAAATCAAATTAAATTGGATAAAGTTATGGGTCCAAAAATTAAGCTGTGGGTATAATTTCTGCAGTCATATTTTGCCCCATTTTTCCATAAATTTTTCCACCCTTCCGAATAAAAAACGCATTGGACTTTGTAATTTCTTGAAGGGGTTTCTTTTTATTCATAATTCATTACTTGGTTTACATTTATACTATATTACTGCATGTTTTGGTTTTTTTAGAGCGACCCAACGGAACCGTATTAATCTGCCCGCTGCTCCCAAGTACCTACAAATAATTCTCTACATCAAGTGCTTTCTTTTTTCGGCCTTTTTCCGTTTTATTTGGGGACTCGTCATCGCTTTTCCTTTGGTTTTATTTTTCTCTTTTTGGGTTTCTTTTTCGATTCGTTAAATTTTAGCTTAATCTTAAGTGTGCTCGTTCTTGCAACGCATTTAACTTCTTATTTTCTCCGCTCTGCCAATTTGCCGCAATCATTCGAAGTAATTTTCTCAAAATTTCCAAATGACAAACGCCCGCTTTTTACTTATTTTTTTTATTTTCCTTCACTTACACAAATTGTATTTGACTATTTCCATACACCAAAAAAAAAAAAAACAACATCTATTTCATATGTTCATAATTTATAGGTAAATATGTAATTTGAACGGCGAGTTCTGTTTTGGATTTTCATAAATCTTTACCTTCAATGCTTAGTCTTTATAAATTTTAAGTGTTGTAAAAAGCATTTGGTAAGATACAAGTTTTTGGCAAGTGAAACCTTTTATTGCTAAAAAAAAAACAGCTAGTAGATTATTGAAGTAGGGGCTTAAAATAATTCAAAATAAAACGAAGCAATCAAATATTTATCAACTCTTTTGAAATACAATAAAGTAGATATTGTTAAAAAATTTGAAAGAAAACTTTTGGAAGCTCGGTTGATCGATGGAAGCACAAAATAAATATTTTAATGAAAATAAATTGTTGCAAAAATTGAAAAGAAGAGCAAAAAGGCTTTTAAATTGGATTGTTTTCATAATTCAATTAGCTCTCAGTTAGAGAAAAATGGAATTTAAAAACTCGAATAGTCAGAAGGTTTGAAAAATTGAAAAACAAAATTTTTATCATATGAAAAGCCGGGCATTATTGGGGTAAAAGCAAACGGAAAAGGCGTCAAGCGAAAAGAGGCGAATAATTGCTGTCGAGTGTTTTCCACTTCGCCCTTTTCTGGTTTTCCCTGCACCTTTCCCACTTTCTTCTGCAGTTTTTCCCCTTTCTAGACCAGTGTGACCACATGTCGCTCGTAGGCAAAGCAAACGGAAATCCAAAACAGACGCCTTATGTATACGTTTGTAAACACTCTTCTTGTAGTATTTATCGTACTTTAGATTTGGCCTTAACACTCCCTGTTCGCCAACTTTCTCCTCCTGCCTTGCCATCTAAATTTCCTCCAGCGTTTCGGTTTTCGGTTTTCGGTTTTCTGTTTTCCTTTTTTCTATCTCTTTTTTTTTCCCACCTGACAGACTTCGCACTTTCTCCGTCTGTAACTGTAAATGTATCTGTTTTTGAGTGTGCGTGTTTGTTTGTTTGTTTTTTTGTTAGCATTTTCATTCCATTCTTTTTTCCGGTGAAAAATTGACATATTTCGGTACTTGCAACTGGAGTCGAGTCGAGTTGAGTTGAGTTGAGTTTTCTTTTGGGTTTCCGCTTGGATTTCCGGCATTTCTGCCGCAGACACAAGACTTTTGGAAACTTTTGGCCGGAATGTGGATATGGAAAGGGCTTGATTTTGAGTTTTCTATTTTTTTGAGGAGAAATGGCCAGCGGGGCAAACCCCAAACAAGTGATTAAATTTGCTCTGATTTTGAGGACCAATTATGTGGCTGCAGGGAGTGCTTTCTTCTTACTTTCATCTGTTTTTTTTGTTTTCTTCTTATTTATGGATTAACAGTTTGGTTACTGTTACGATTACGATTACGGTTACTAGTGCGGATTACGGCTGCAGCAATGCGGCTCCCGTTTCTGTTTCTGTTTCGGTTTCGGTTTTTAGCCCAAGATCTTCTTGAAATAGCTAACCGTTTCCGGCTTGGTTAGCGAGCGTCGTCGATTTGGCTTGAATGGCGCCTCGGTTTCCTCCAGGAAGTTGTGTCGCGTTGTGGCTGCCTCGACCTCCGAATGCCCCTCCTCCTGGTCGCCGTCCTCCTCCTCCGGGCTGCCCATTCCGTTGTTATCCACCTTGAAGGATCCCTGGTTCAGTGGGGGATACCGGAAAACTCTCACTGGCTTCGGAATGGGTGTTGTTGCTGGTTTAACTGCTGATGTTGCTGCTGTTGTTGCTGGTCTTCCTGATGGTGTTGCTGCTGTGGCATTCGATTTGATTTCATTAGCTGCGGTTGGTCTTACGGCATTGGTTGTTGCTGCTGCTGCTGCTAGCGCTTCACTGGCAATTACTGCTGCTGCTGTCGTCGCTGATGTTGCTGTGGTGTCTTCAGCTACTTTCACGCCTGTTGTCAACTCCACAGTTGCACCTGTTGTCGCTGTCACGGTTGTTGTTGCTGCTGTTGCTGTTGCTGCTGTTGCTGTTGCTGCTGTTGCTGCTGCTGTCAGCCCCTTCAATGACGTGACTGTTGATGGCTGAATTTCCTCTTTGGCTGATATTGGTGCTGGAGTTGCTGGCTTGGCTGCTGCTGCTGCTGTTGTCGCACTGGTTGTTGTTGTTGCTAGTGTTGTTGTTGTGGTTGCATGCTCGCTGGCATGTTTGGCCGGCGGCACATAGTGCGACTTCACCAGTAGCATTGGCGGTATAAAGCGCGTATTGTCGGCGGACTCGTTGACGTGCGTAGCATGCTGCTGCTGCAGCGTTGAGCCTTCGTGCAATATCTGTTGCTGGTGGTGTTGCTGCTGTTGCGAGGGATGAATGGGATGGGCCATGTTGTTGCTGTTGCTGCTGTCGGTGGACGTGGCACGGCTGGCTGTTGCTGTTGCTATTGTTGTTGTTGTCGTTGCTGTTGCTGGTGGTGGTGTGGCAGCGGATGTTGCTGTCGTCGTGGTGGCCATCGATGAAGTTGCTGCTGCCGTTGTCGGTGTTTTTGTTGTTCGCGGCGTAACCATTGTTGTTGGCTCTGGCTTCTTGGTTGTTGTCGTCGTTAGTTCTGGCTTGGGCGTTGTTGTTGTTGTTGTGGTGGTTGTTGTTATGGTGGTGCTGCTAATGGTTGTTGTTGGTCTTATGGTTGTTGCTGGCGCCTGCGAACTTGTGGTGATCACTGCTTTTGGCGTGGTCATCTGCACTTCAGTTGTTGCTGCTGCTGTTGTTGTTATAGCTACTGTTGTTGTTGCTGGTGTTGTTGTTGTGGTTGCTGTTGCCGGTGCCGCCAACGTTGTTGTCTTCAGCGTTGTCGTTGTCACCATCAGCGATTCTCCTGCCTCCCCAATTGGCGACATGGTGCGCAGATCCTGCGGCAGGATCTTCTTTTTGTGCGGCAAATGCTCGAATATCTCATTGGAGACATCGCTATTGCTGTTGTCATCCTCGTTGAGCGGTATACGCAAGCCCATTCCCATTCCCGGAGGCAGTTGCTCCTCACTGAGTGCCGGCTGGTCGCCCAGCATCAGCTCCTCCTCCTCATGTTGCTGCTGGTGAACCAGCGATTTGCGCGACTTCTGTTGCTGCTGCTGCTGCAGGCTGTGTTGCTGCTGCTGCTGCTGATGGCTGCCCTGCAACTTCTTGGTAAAGTCCGGCGTGATCACCTTCTTGGCCGCCTTCTTCACCGGCTTGGGCACCAAATCCGGTATGCGATACAATCCGGATAGCGAAACGGCACCTGGGGCATCCGCCTGCATTAGTTCACCCAATCCGGGAACGGAAACGGCAGGCACAGGGGGTGCCACCTCGATGTTGATGGCCATTCCCGATCGTCGGCCATAGTTGGGCAACAGATCAATGTCGTTGTTCTCCTTGTTGTCCGTGCGAATGTTGTTGATGATCTGCAGCGACTTGAAGTGCGAGTTGGTGATGTCATTGATCCGCTGCGCCTCTAGACGCTCCTTGGGACAGATCAGCTGCCGGATGGCACGCTCACGATCCTGAAAAAGGAAAGAGCATCAAAAGATAGGGGAAATGATGTAATGTAGGAAAATGTGTCCCATATATTATAATACATTTTTTAACTACCAAATACCTTCGAAACTATCTAATGTCACTTTATACGGATTTGATTTATATCAAATAAAATACAATACATTTTTAAAATTATCATTACACTAACTACAAACTAGCAAAAAGGTCAAAAAATAAATAATAATAGTCCACATAATATTATGGTCATTGAACATCCTTGATTTTAATTTATATATAATTTTTGTATTTTATATATCATGCTTGTTCAAATCTCAAAATAAATCTCAAAATAGTTCGCGAAATAATATAACCTTTATTTTATTTTTTATATACATTTTTGAATGGTTTTTTATTTGAAAGTGTTTGATATTATATTTTACAAATAATTACGGCTGTGTGCTCACAACTCACCTCCTTGCCCTTGCAGGTGTGTCTCAGGAGTCCCTCCTCCTGGCAATTGCGGATCAGCTCGATGCTGGCCGTGTCCGCCATGTACTGCATGGTCAGGTTGGGCATGTCCTTCAGAATGCAGGCATCCGCCCAGCTGGGCACTAAACGGTGGTGGAGCAGGGGCAGCATATCAGTCAACTGGAACCTGGAATCCCGCTCAGAAATCGAGCCTTACCTGGCATTTCGCAGAGGAAGGAGGCGGTCTCGGGTCCGCCGCATCGCAGGGCGTGCCAGCGGTAGTCCCGAATGGGATCGATTACGGCGCAGAGCGGAGCGTCCATGAGGGGCAGCGATTCCGCCCAGTATCCAGTATCCGCCACCAAAGGACGAGAGTTCCTAAGCACCCCAGTAAAAATATATGTTGGCTTAAAATTGCAAAAGGCATTGTTTGTGTTTGGTTTTTGTTTATGTTTTCATATGGACCTCTGCACCTAAATATATACAAAAATTCCCACATTTATTTCACTTAAACTTCTTTTTGCCTTTGACTTATTTAGAAAACAAATTTTAAGTTTTTTATGCACTTTTATACAAACCCTGACAATTAAAAAAAAAATTAATAACCTGTAATGCCAACCTGATTTCTTAATAAAAAATTCTGGCAAAATTAAAAAAAACTATACATACAATATAATAAAAAGAAATGCCTTTAAACAGAAGTCGAACTCGGTCGCAACTAACTAACGCGTTGCGCCACTAACCACTTGCATTCTATGTGCATAATGCGGCTGTTACATTTACGTTTAACCAAAAATTGAAGGCCAACTTCAAGGAATTCTAAATAGAGAACTCATTGGCGCTGCAGCCTTTTCATTGTTATTTTATTAATTACCCTTCTTGGTTTTAATTAGATTGCTTTGTATTTAGTTTTTTTCTAATTTCAACATTGAGCCAAGTTTAACTCAGAGCTATGAAAACCGATATGGTGCGGCCTTTCCAATATTATTTTATTAGTTAGTCTTCTTGGTTTCACTTAGTGTGTCATGTGTGTTTTTCGCATTTCCAGTTGGGACTGCCCCCACTCCGATCTATATCTATACACAAATGGAGGACCACTATACACATGTCGGCCCCAACAGGACAATTGTCATACAATCCCGTTCGGCTGTATCCCAGTGTCCTGTATTCTGTATCCTCTATCGCGTAAATGTATCTGTATCTGTTTCTGTTTCTGTTTTCGTATCCCTGTATCCGTATCGCCGCCCGACTATATGGGCTGCTTTTGTTGCTGGTGTTGATGTTGATGTGCCCGTTTGCTATTGTTGTACTTACGACCACATAAAGCGATCCGAGTTCTGCGGTCGCATGAGACCAATCCAAACGATGTCGTTCACATCCAATTCCCTCAGCAGGTCGCGCGTTGCATCGAATTGAAAACTGTTGTCAACTGTAAGGACATCGTCGACACACACACAGGATATTTGGTAAAAAAGGGTGTAAAAAAACGAGAAAAAAGGAAGGAGGAGCAGAGAGAATAGTTCAAATGAAAACGAGACGACAAATGGTTTTTATTTGTTCTACACAGAGTATTTCTATTAAAATCGCCTCGTCTATTGTTGTTTTCTTTTTCGTCCCCTGTGTTTTTTTATTATTTTAACTTTTTGTTTCTATTGAGTTTTTCTTTTTTTTTTTGAGTTTCGGCAGTGGGATGCCATCAGCTCGATGTTACCCTCTAGTGACAACACAAATTGTTAACAAAACGATGTTGAAAATTATTTTTGTTTCCATTTTTGCCGCTCTCGTTCTTGTTCTAGTGAATGTTTTCCGCTTTCGTTCCTGTTTGCAATTGTTATTTAGCTTTTGTTTGTGTTACTCATACTGTCACATTTGCATATGGTGCCAAACCAAAAAAAAAATGTTGTTCAATGTCAACAAATCAACCTTTGACCCTATAGCCATAGCTGCTAGCTATAGGCGTTTCATCTTGAAAAATGTATCAAAAATTTAAGTTTTGCTAACTTAAATTTGATACATCCAACTATGACCTCGGGCTTTTCACTTTAACTTTCTGACTTTCATTTCCCCCTTAGTAAAGATTACAGTGTGAACTTGTGTTGAACAAATCAACGCTTGACCCCAAAGTCTTAACTCCTAACTAAATATTAATAGAAAAATCAAAAAAACTTTGTGTTGAAAATGTTTTGTTTTATATACAAAATATATATTAGAATTTTCAGTGTTGCTAACTTTAATTTGATTTTAAATCACCTGCTAAAATCGTATTTTGCTCTTTTTAAATCAGCGGTTGATGCTGAAAATTCCGCTTTGTTCTAAGCTTTTTGCCTGGATAAAAATGCTTTATTATTCAAATGAATAAATTTACTCTGCCTGACTTTTATTTCTCCCCCCAGGTAAAGATCACAGTGGAAACTTTTGTTGAAGGCAGATATATTGGCAACTTTCTGGCACACTATTGAGTTGGTTGTTTTGGGTCATTTGAGCGACCGGGTGATTGTGATTTAGATGCACCGGACCGAACCGTTGGCCATCTTTATCTTGCCACTGTGACCCCAATCTCAACCTGGTACAGGGAGCCCCTTGGCACCCCTTTTTGCACTGCAGCGACAGCATTTGTCAGGAGGATTTATTGTATTATGAGGTTGGCTTAGAATTCCCCCCAGAATATAAATGGAAAGCAAAAGCAATGCGGTAAACTGTGGTGAGGGGGGTGGTGGGTTGGCTGGGAAATGCAGGGCAGAGGTTGATTCTACGGCAAAGCTTTTGCTTTTGGGGTCCGGCCACATAAAAGACTCGACTGTGGCTGCGTCACTTTGCTGTCATTTCATTCATTTGCGAACCACAATGGCAACGTCCCTTTGGCATCTGTCTTTTGCACCCAGTGGCCTGCCTTCTATTCCCTATTTTTTCTTGTTTTTTTTTTTTTGTAAGAGTAAGAGTAAGAGTCCTAGATGCATTCGTTCGTTGCTAGGTGACAGTTTCGCTCGTTGGCCGGACATTTGTAATAATGTCCTAGTCCCGGTCCTTGGTCCTTTTGGTCCTAGGCTTATTTGCATTTTTACTTCGTTCGCCTCGTCTTCTGTTTTATTTTTTTTCTCTCTTTTGCGGCTTTCTACTTCTACTTCGACCTCGACTTTAAATTTTCAGGTGGATGTTGGCTTACCCGTAACCAGATTGGCGTGATGAAATTGGCAAACGGCATCGGCCTCAAACCAGGATATACGATCGCGGAAGAAGCGATAGAAGACGTTCAGACCCTCCTGCGGCATCGTCCAGGTGTTGCTCACGTTTACCTGTGAAAACAGAAAACAGAAAACAAAATACAACAAAACGGGAAAAAAGAGTTCATTTCGGTTTATTTGTATGCGAGCGGCGCACAGTGCGTATACGTTATGCATTAAGTATACACCGCGTGGCCCGTAAAGCGTTTACATTTTTAATGCCCAAAGCGGGCTGTGGGTGGGTGGTGTGGATGGAGATTTTTGCTGGGCTGGTAGGTAAAACTCTACGACATTAAAAATACATACAACACACGCGCACATTTGCTTAGTGGGTAGTGGGGTAGGTGAGGTAGGTGGGGGCTTTTTCTCGGATGTAAAATCTGCTTTGAAGCCTGTCCCCATATATTTCATTAGGGCAAAACTGTGCCAAGGGGAGCAAAGCGGGGTTGGTCGCAACAGCTGCCACAAAGCAGGATGCTACGCCTCCTCACTCCTCGAGAGATTCCAAAAATGTTCTTTGTAGCATGCCGCGTGCTGAGACCAAGGTACCAACGCCAGGGGAACCAACTTGGGTACTCAGCTCGCCATCTTCATGCCCATCCTCCATTTCCATTCCCATCGTGGAGTGACAAGCAGGCCTCGCTCTGCCACATTAACTAATTAGGAGCAGAGGCCCGGGGACGGCGGTGCATAAATACCCGACGCAAAATATATACATATACTTATGCCATAGTATCCGCATAAAGACGGGCAGCGCAAGGGAAGGTGGTTTTAACACACAAAAACACTCTTGTCAAACGGAAATTTAAATAGGTGATTTCCGGGTTGTGTCTTGTATAGAAGGTGCACGGCAACCCTGTCGCCTGAACAACTCTAAACGTATATCGATAACAGGCAGGGAAAAAATCGAAAAAGGAATTGGGAATTGTACATAGCAGTCTTCCTTGTGAAAAACAAAGTAGGTGAGGCTCAAGTAGATCCTTTTAAAGCTGTCAAATCGCCGCCGGTGGTAGCGGAGTGAGTAAGGTGTCTGCTCCCCGTTTTCTAACATCTAAGTGCCGCCGGTGCGGGTTCGAGTCCCGCTATTTAAAGAGCATGGTTTACAAAAAGACACGCGGGATATTATCATGTGTAAATATGTACATTGTCACACAGATTCTTAGGTTAAGCATAAAGTTGACAAGCAAAAACAATTTTTTGTTTTTTTTTTTTAATAGAAATCAAAGTTTAATTCCAAGGACAAACGCTATATTTAAGCTTGTGAAACAAGAAACTCTTTGAAATGTGAAATCTGTGAAATTCGAAGCTTGAAAAAGGGATAAATCAACATTTGCATAATTAGAACACTTCCCGTATCTTTTTTCAAGAGTATAAAAATGCCAGTTGATTGGAATTCTTGGTAGCCTCTTCAATTAAAAGCTTTTCTAACAACTGAATTTTGCTCCTACCTTTTTTTATTTTTTCTACCCAACTTAACTTTGTGTTCATCGTAAACGTGCCTAAATATACGTATATTTTTTGTAAACTAATTAAATTTGTTTTGTGAATATTGCTTAGCAACTTTTTGATGGGAAAATTTTTGCGGCAGAGCTTTTAGTGAAAACCCAGTGAAATTAAGACGAGTCAAAAGGAATGCTGGTCATAAATTTGGAAATTGTATTTCAACTTTTCTCAGCTCCCTGGGTTTCCCTCTTTCCGATCTGGGGCGGGAAAAGAAACGCATCGTATATATGCGGGGTGTGGCAGGCATTTCATTAACTTAATTAACATTTAATTGAAAAATTCAAAAAGGCAAAAAGCACCTTCTTCGCCATTGTGATGCGGGTAGAACCCAGGGGAGAACTTTCATCTCTTCAGCGCAAAATCTCCCATCAACAAATAAATGGAATAAAAAGCGGCGATGGCTATATGTACATATCTATATTTTTATGTACCCACGGAAGAGAAGGCAACACTTAGCGCTGGATAAGCCACTTATCAGTCGATTAACTTTGTTTTAATATCCACAAGAGTAATTCCTCCTTTTTATCGTCCAAAGAATTTGCTCGCGAACAAAATACCAATTTAATTTACCCACCGCAATTGCATTTGTAATTATGCATACATAAATACATTTATGGCCATATATTTATGACTGTTAATACCTTGATGGTCAGTTGCTACAGATTTTCGAGGGTGGCCACGAATTATTCAATTTCAACTCAAAGTGGCAACTAGCGCATTAACACATATGTCCGTGTGAGCGTGTTTGCGCTGGAATCATTAATTATGCAATGAAAATGGCTGTGGAAGCAATTATTCAGTTATTAACTTGCAAATCATTTGAATCGACTGCATGACAAAAAAAGAAATTATTGACAATGTGTGTGGTACATTGAAATAATTGATCAATAATTGCGCATCATTAAATTTACTTTGGGGAGTAGCTACATCAACGATACAAGGACTGTACTACCGACAGTAAATCCCTTAGATAACTGGAATAACTGGAATGGGAATGCAGTAGGCTTACAAAAAAAGTGAGAATCGAACCCGGGTGTAATTTCTACTGGGTGGACTTTCTAATCCCTGGGCCACAACCTGATTATACATTTATTTTATCTCCTTAAATTTTAGCTAAGACATACATTTATTTTTGTAGATTTATGGCGAGTTCGCCTGTGGCTATAGGAAATGTTAACCTTTGTTTTAACAAAGAAATAAGAAATAACACCGTCTTCGTTATAAAAACAAATTTTAAAATTTAAGAAATATGTTTGTTTAGTGTCAGTTGCCATACATTTGGTAAAATTATGTTATGTTTTCTAGAGAGATATTTAAGAAGATCATTTGTGAATCAGTTTTGTCAGTGCATAATATTTCCATCACAAAGTGGAGCTGCACCATAAGCTGCTTTCACATTAATAAGAATCGCAATTTAGCAACAATATCGGTTATTTTTGCAGAAGTAATAGGGCAATAAGTGCAGCATAATCATCTTAAAGTATTATAAAACCAATGTCGTTAGAATCAAACATTCTTACCAGATGGAAATTCTGAAGCTACAGAAAGTGCAGCATGCAGTTATTTATATTGGGGGCAGTTTAAAGCAGTTTAAAAGCACTAAGGTTTTTGTAATCAAAAAGGTGACGGTAAATAAAATAATAAAAACACTTGAGAATGGTTCAAAATTCAAGAAGATAAATAATTTTTTCTGGGAAATTATACGCATCAGTTGTGCCTTTAAAATTTCTAAAATATGTCGAATTATTTGGATACACCGGAAAACAATTTATGAGTTTTAGCAAGGACTATAGAACTGTAAACTGGAACTGCAGCAGATGTTCTGTTGCCGCCGTTTGTTGACTTTTATATTTTTTTCCTTTTTTTTTTTTGCTTTTTTTTAAACTTTTCTTGTGCTTTTTGGAGACTCCGCAGCAACTTGCTGTGCAAACAATTCCGCGTTTGCTACTTCTTTTGCAACGCCTCCTGCTGATGTTGCTGTTGTTCATGACAATGTTGCTGTTGTTGCTGCTGATGTTGCTGCTGTTGCTGCTGCTGTTGTTTGTCTGCTGTTTTTCCCCTAGTTATGCTTTGTTTGTAATTATGATGAAGACATCCTGTGGAAGCGCGGGCGGAGCCGAGTACAAATTAAACAAAAGAATAAGTGAAATCACAAAGCGCTGCAAAAGACTTCTTTGTGTTTGTATAATTTTTGTATTTGCATTTGCATTTGCATTTTATGAAAGTGAAGCGTATAGTAGAGCGGGTAACTAGTTAGGACATTGTATCCCCTCCCTTTTTCCCCAGACGCAACGCAATTTGCCGTGTGGATTTCCCTGAAAAAGTGCTCGGTTTGCACCTTTTAATCATGGTGAACAGCAGGGTTTTTATGTTATGGTACTTTTGAGCAGAGAAGGAAATAATGTGCAAAGCACTTGAAACCAAACATTTAGCAAAAGGATTTAATGAGATCACAAACTTTTAAAGTACTTTAAAAGGATGTTTTAAGAACTTGCAGTTAGGCATGTTTATTTTGAGAACGCATATAAGCATGGCAAAAGTACTTAAACTTTTAAAAGCGTCGCATATAAAGCTTTTTCATTGGAGAGGCGGTAGTGAATAAGTTGAACAATTATTAAAATACCCTTCTTTATAATCTCCATATTATCACTCTTGATTAAATTCATTACATATTAAAGTACATATATATATATTATATATATATATATAATTCATTTAATTGATTACATTGTGAAGTAGATATTCCAGAGCTGTTAAATATCAATTTGTTAAATCACCATCGGAAATTAAAAGCTTTCACTTAGACGGCATTTGAACAACCCAGAAATGCTGCACAATCCCAATTTTTTTCAGGACTTTAAGGTCTTTAACACGTTTATCATCCTAAGAATTTGTATTCAAGCTTCAGTGTCTTCCTTTTCTCCTTCAGAGTCGGACATTTTTCCGTAGTTACCATGCGCTCTTAGCCATCAGTTAAAACTGTATTATTTGCATACTACCTCAGCTCTGATCCAAAACAAATTGTGAATGCATAATGTGAGTTGATTTATCCCTTTTGATAACGTTAACATGCCCCATTCTCCATTCTATGTTCGCCAAACTTAGTTCACCTTCGCTGTCAGTCAGCTCAAAGGGAAATATTTTCATTTTGCTCTCCTTTATTGGCTTTTTACCAAGTACTCGAGCGATTATAATGGAGCCAAGGATGATGAGGATGGGTATGAGGATGACGATGCGGATTGGGGGCGGCACTTTGGCCCGGGGTGTCAACACAATCAGCGCCTGCGGCACCTTCAAGTGGCTCCAATCTTGGCCCGAGTCGTGCGTGAATCATAAGTATCTTGTCCCAGCACAAGCGACTGTATCCATTTACATACATACATATGTATATATACAGATATATGCAGAAGTATGCTAATGTGGCAGCCGCAAAATGGGGCGCGTTTAAAAATCAAATACGCCCGATGGCGCTTGATGGGTGTGTGTCTGTGTGTGTGTGTGTGTCTGGGTGTGTGTGTGCATTAGCAATCCTTTTGATATATTGGCATATATTTTATACCACCTGACTT